TTCCAGCAAGCTAGCTGGCGAGTTCTGAGGTGAGTCATTGCTGACTTTGTCAGCCGCACACACTCTCCTCATCTTGCCCAAGGACGGATAACTTCCTGGAATGTTGGGGGCTGTTGTTCATGTAAGAAGACAAGCCACGCGTCTTTGCTTCTGTAAACAGGTTTGGTTGCCCCAACTGTGCGAGATGTGCTTGATCATACTAGGTGGAAGGGATGTAGGCAAGAAGTATGTTGGGATGTATGCTTGCCCCTGATTGGACGAAGGTGGGAAGTACGAGATCTTGGGGGTTTTGCCTTTATAAGACTCTGACTAGTGTAATTCACCGCCATACTCTGGGAATCCCGGGTGTGGACCTGGCCGATATTCATGCTCCTGCCAGTATTTAATAAAGCTGGCTTCAAATTTGGCTTAAAAATTGTGGTAGTGGTCTTGTTCTCACCGGGTAGAGTTAACCCTTGTCCCATGCCCCAGGTGAGTTTCCTTGCTCTTAACACTCTGGATATAAATTGGGGTTTCACCAACTCCCATGGATTTCAATTAATTAACTAACACTTGGGAGACCAAGGCAAGAGGATTACTACAAGACCAAGGTCAACCTGGGCTACCTCGAGAATTCTAGGCTCAGCTAGAGCTGTATATCAGGACTCGATGTCAAAAAACAAAACAGAGTAGGTAGAAGGAGATGAAAGATCGATAGACTTGCTCCCAGAACTCACTGAAGCATGTTTGCCCATTTACCATGAAAAGCATTAAACAGAAACAGGGGACGAGGTACCCAGGGCAAGGTCTGAAGGAGATCCATGGAGCTCCCCTGCCCTCTCTGCGTGCTATCCTCCAGGACCTGCCACATAAGCAGCGAGTTGTCCTGGAGCTCTCTGAACCCTGGCCTCTGAGGTTCCTGTGGAAACATGGCATGTCCATCAAGAAGGTAGGCTGGATGGGGAGCCAAGCAAGGCTGTCTGTCTGTCCCAGCCTTCCTCCCTCCAGCTGTGAGACAGGCCCTCTAAGATGCCTACCCGATGGCCTGTCACTGGAAAAGGGAGCCAGCTCCAAAACTTCAGGCAGGTTTCTGCAACCTGCCCCAGAAAGAAATTCTAGTTTCTATGATGTATCTTGGAGACACATAATATTTTGTTGTTGAACAAAAGAATGAAATGCTTTGTCTCATACAAGTCAGGCCGGTTAGGTTCTGCCAATTTGTCTCATACTAGAGTTGCCCAGGAAGAGGGACCCTCAACTGAAGTATTGCCTTCATCAGATTGGCCTGTAGGCAAGGCTATGGGCCATTTTCTTGAGCTGATTGATGGAAGAGGGCCTACCCCACTGTGGATGGTGCTACTCTTGGGCAGAAGGCTGTAGGCTCTGCAAGAAAGAAAGCTGGAAAAGCCCAGGGAAGCAAGCCAATAAGCAGCGCTCCCCTGTGGCCTCTGCTTCATCTCCTGCCTCCAATTTCTTGCCTTATTGTGACCTGAAAGTGGAAGCCAAATAGACCCTTTCCTCTGCAAGTTGGTTTTGGTAATAGTGGTTTTTCACGGGAACAGAAACCAAAGTCAAACAGACCTGATTGATGTCTAAGCTTTATTATTTGTTGCTGAGACTACAAACCTCTCCTCCCTGATCTGGTGACAGGATAGTCACTGACAACTGGTCTACCAGCAATTGCTTAACAATAGGCTGTTGGGTGGAGGTGGGCAGCTCGCAGCACTTTCTGACTTCTGGGGTGGAATTCTTTCCGTGCCTCTGATTGCAAGCTTTTGCTAGCACGTCCTTCAGCTGGGAAAGTCCCCTCAAGCTGCCCTGCATACCTCTGCCTACACTGAGTAGAGTCGTGAGCTTGACGCTAACGCCGGTTTTCAGATGTGTTTGCTGAGCTCAGGGCTAGCTGATTCTCTGCAGGGATGAAGGGGACTCATTTCACCAGGGTAGTCAATTTCTGTCCTGTCTTCCTAACCACGATGAGAGAAACAGGGAAGGTAGACAAGGGTCTTTCACACGAGGCAGAGTGGGGAAGGACGTTGGTTCTGGGAACCTGTTGGCAAGAAATAGCACGGGACCAAGAAGCCAGAGTCTGAGCTCCGCCTCTGAAGCAGTCTGACACAAGAGTCTCCATTCAAAAAATGGAAGAATCAGTGTTGGACCATCGGTAATCTTTCATAAAACCAAGTCTACAAAAGCCACAGAAATAACATTGGAATGAAGTTTTAAAATTATAAATATTAAGTTTGCATTAAAATTATAATACTGAGGGTTGGGATGTAGCTCAATTGGCAGAATGCTTGCCTAGCATGCATGAGGCCCTGGGTTCGTTCCTACCCCCTCATAAACTGGGCATGGTGTTACCCTGCAATCCCAGCACCTGGGAGGCAGATGCAGGAGGATCAAGGGTTTGGGGGTCAATGTAAACCATGCAGTAAGATCCTGTCTCAAAAATAAAATAATTTTTATGTTTTTGAGACAGTGTCTCTTGTAGCCCAGGTTGGCCCTGAACTTGTTATGTAGCTGAGTCAGGATATTGTCAAACTCCTGGTTCTCTTGCCTATATTTTGCAAATGCTGGGACTACAGGCACACTTCACTGCATCTGGTTCAAAATGGTGTATTTTGAATTATGAATAATTTACCATTATAGAGCATGCATATATATTGAGACAAGGTTTCTCTGTAGCTTTGGAGCCTGTCCTGCAACTTGCTCTTGTAGACCAGGCTGGCCTCAAACTCACAGAGATCCACCTGCCTCTGCCTCTCAAATGCTGGGATTAAAGGCATGCACCACCACGGCCCAGCTCATAATAGATCATATTAAGGGAAGAAACATGAAGGCATTTGGCAGGAATGCATTAGTGTTCCTGGAGCTTTGCAGGGTAAGGCTGGAGGGTGAGGCTGGTGTCTCATGCATCTGTGTTCTCACTGGCTCTGGGAACTTACAAGGAAGCTCTCAGGAGAGGTTCCTTCTGTCACATGACTAGACATGAATTATGAACTGTTGCAATCATACTCAGGGTGAGATTAGGCTTAATTAATTTTTAAAATACCATTTCTCTTTGATTAGAGTACATTGAAAAATAGATTCAAAGATGCGCTCAAGTCAGAGATCCATACCCAGCTTTAAATGACCAGACTGGCCACCCTTGTCCTGCTGTGTAATTCTACAGATGTCCAGAGGTAGCCATCTGGTTCCGCCCACAGTCGGCAAGCTCCTGAGCAGAAGCATGGCAGGGACCTTGTTTGTTTATTTGTTTTTTATATCGTATTGTTTTGGCGAGACCCAGAGTAACGGGCTTCACTGCGGTGTTTGCCGTCACAGGCTGTGCTCACTTCTCCCTGACAACGCTCCCCCTCCCCCTGCCAGCCTCCCCCACCTGAGTGGCCACAGGGTGTTCTCTTCTGCTCCATCACCTGTATTATTCCATCACCCACCCCCAAGGTCTGTTCCTCCCCTCAGGATCCCCTTTCTAGTTTCTGTCCTTTACTGGGTGTCCGAGTATTCTGGAGTGACCCCTCCTGTAATGGCTACTGGATTTCTTTTTCTTTTATGCAAGTAGCAGTAACCCTGTCCTGGATTTTGCTGTTCACTATCTTGAGAACTGAGGTACCAATTTGTTGGGGAGTGGGAAACACTCCAGAAAAGCAATGGATACATAGAGTTGGCCCTCAGCACCTGCAGATTCAACCAACCTCCCACAGATGGAAAATAGTTGAGAGAAAAAAAAAAAAAAAAACAGAATTAAAGCCACAAGAGGAAAAAAATGACAGTTTTTTTTTTTTTTTTAGTTTTTATTTTATTTTGTTTTGTTTTGAGACATGGTTGTCCTGGATGGCCTGGAACTCATAACATAAATTCACAGAAATCTACCTGCCTCTCTCTCTCTCTCTCCCTATTCTGGGATTAAATGCATATGCCCAGCCTATTAAAAATTAAAAATGACATATTTTATAGATTTATTTTTGTTACTCTTTTTTCCCCCCAAGACAGAGTTTCTCTGTGTAACAACCCTGACTGTCCAGGAACTCGCTCTGTAGACCAGGCTGGCCTCAAACTCACAGAGATCCACCTGCCTCTGCCTTCTGAGTGCTGGGATTAAAGGTATACACTACCAGTGCCTGGCTTATTTTGTTATTCTTTATTATATGTGTGCAAGTATGTCTGTGTGTGGGTATGTGTATGTTAGCGTGAGGTATCCTCAGAGCCCAGAAGAGAGCACCAGAACCCCTAGATCTGCAGTTACAGATAGTTGTGAGCCATTGGGCATGGGTGCTGGCAACCAAACTTGGGTCCTCTGCAAGGGAAGTATGTGTTCTTAATGGTAAGCCCTCTCTTTGGTCCCTAAAACAACACTAGAAATATTTATTTATCTATTTTTTTGTTTTCTTGTGAAAGGATTTCTCCATGTTACCCTGACTGTCCTGGAACTCACTCTGTAGACCAGGCTGGCCTCAAACCACCTCCCTCTGCCTCCCGAGTGCTGGGATTAAAGGCGTCCTCAACCGCTCCATTTTGTTTAGTAACGAGTGTTCCCAGACAGCCCATGTCACAGGGAAACTTTTCGTTCCTGCATGTTCTGTCCGCCTCAGTCTGGACACAGCTCTGGTTTGCAATGCTGAGCTCCTCCTCAGCACCATCAACTTTTCCTTCCACCTCCCCCCTCCAAGCTGTTTTCAAATCCCAACTTCCTATTCTGAAATAACTCCAAACTGAATGAAAGTTCTCCATCATAGTGCACGAGTCTCACGTGTTCTCCACCATAGCTCCTCAGCACTAACGCTTCCCCATGCTTGATGGGGCTCTCGCTATTCTTTTACTGTTATTTTTTTTCTTAGTTGTTTGAACAACAGAAACCTTAATTGTGTGTTTCCTATAAACAAGAGCTTTCTCTGATACAACCATAGTGTAATAAGGAAACATATATTGATAAGACGCTGTATTTTTAAATGTAATCTGAAGTCTTTATTAAAAATTAACAAGTTGTCCCAGCAATGTCCTTGACAGCAAAGGAAAGCAATGTTTTCCTGGGCTCCGGATCACGGTCTGTCTGTTAGAGCAGCTACAGGTATGCAGGAAAATGGCTTGGGCAGCCCAGGCTGTAATCCCAGCACTCGGGAGGAGGCGTGAGAACTGAAAGTTAAGATCACAGCTGCACAAGGTGGGAGGCTAGCTGGGGCTGCAGGAGAGACACTAGCTCAAAAAACCTATAACGGAAGGAAAGACAGGGAGAAGAGAGGAAAAGGTGAAAGACCAGAAGTTCGGAGCCCCCATACTGTGCTGCGTGCACCCTTCCACTTCTCCGCCTGCAGATCCCCTGCTCAGCTGCTACACCCTGGACTGATAAGACTTCATTAACCAGCCCAGAGCTGGCAACGTGGCGGTGCCGTCCTCTCCTGTTGTACTTTCTAGGGCTTTTGACACATTTGTAACGACAGCTCCCACTGTGACAGTGCAGAATTCTCCTGTTCCTCAAACACCCTGTGCCCCATGTCCTCATTACTCCCTTTCAGAGTCTGCAAGTCTATTCAAACCAGAGAACCTTAGCAACAGGGAGGAGACCTCAGGCCTGCCTCCTCTGTGTCTCCAGAGCTCACCGTGGCCTGCCAGATTTTTGTTTTTGTTGTTGTTTGCTTTGGTTTGGCCTCCTTTATTCTGACTCAGTTTCCTTATCCTCCTTTTTCTTTCACAGCCAGATTTGAAAGAACACCACTCACTTTCACACGATGTCAGCTCCATTTTGTGTGTGTGTGTGGGGGGGGGTGAGCAATGCCCTGTTTACTAGAGTATTTATGCTCAAGAAGTCAAGAAGTCTTTTAATGATCTGGGGATGTAGCTCAATGGGTCAAGTTTCTGCTTAGCAAGAACAGAGCCCTAGGTTTGATTCTCAGCACAACATAAAACCTGGAGTGGTTGTGCATACCTATAATCTCATTACTTGTGAGGTGGAGCCCGAAGTATAAGTGATCAAGGCCAGCCTTAATTGTCAATATGCACATGACTTTGATCGACAAGTCCTAAAGTTAAGGGAAAGGAGTTGAGGAGGACTTGGTCCTGGGACTCTCTAGGTAGACCAGAAACTCAAATATCCACCTGCCTCTCTCCCGAGTGCTGGGATTAAAGGTGTCCCTTCCACATTCAGCCAAAGTTCTTTTTGTTTTATTTTGTTTCAAGACAGGGGTTCCCTGTGTAGCCTTGACTGTCCTGGAACTCGCTCCGTAGACCAGGGTGGCCTCGAACTCACAGAGACCCACCTGCCTCTACCTCCTGAATGTTGGGATTATGGGCATGTGTGCCACCATGCCCAGCAACCTCAGCCAGAATTCTTTACACAACACCATTTGTAAGCTTCCGGGATAAACTCAGCCTGACACAAGTGAATGGCTGGAGCATAGACCGCTGGGTCTTATCCGCTATAGTATTTAGAGAGACCGCCACCTAAAGCCTGCTAGAGGTGGAGGGACCCTTGAGTGCCACCTCGTCACTCAGCAGAGCTGTGTCAGCAACTCACACCACAGGTTAGTGCTGCTCTTAGCCCGGCTGGAAAACCTTCTGAGTGGGCAGCGATTAATGCAAGCTCAGACCTGGTCACAGAGGTGAGATGCTTCTGTCCCTCCTTCCTGTGCCAGGTAGTTCTTGTCAACTTGACACAAACCGAAACAAATTTGGGGGGAGGAAATCATAAGTGAGAAAATATTCCCATAAGGTTGGCCTGTAGGCAAGTCTATAAGGCATTTGCTTGTTTTTTTTTTTTTTTTTTTTAGTTTATTGAGACAGGGTTTCTCTGTAGCTTTGGAGCCTGTCCTGGCACTAGCTCTGTAGACCAGGCTGGTCTCGAACTCACAGAGATCCGCCTGCCTCTGCCTCCCGAGTGCTGGGATTAAAGGCGGCATTTGCTTGTTTAATGATTGATGTGGGAAGGTCTGTCCACTGTGGGTGGTGCCATCCTGTAGTCGGATTTTTTTTGGGACCACCAGCTCCTCAGTAATGACACAGAGACATTATTAATTATGAAATCTCAGCGATAGTTTAGGCTTTGCCCAGTGGCTGTTTTTTTGCCACAAAGAAAGCAAACTACATATGGAGGTATTTTGGTGCCCATCAACCTTTTTTGATGGTGTCAGGAACAGACATATCTCACTGTCATAAAAAGCCTTATGCTAGCAAAATGTTTTAAATGCTATATTCTGTCACTCTTTGAAGTATTTGAAGATCACCTTTCTATCTAAAATTTATTTCTGTTTGACCTTAAAAACATACCTAACATGACTACAAGTCTGATTTGTATAAGTGACTAATTACTAACCTGCATTTCTTTATTATCTTAAATAATTCATAATAACCTTCAAGGACTAGTAATTTACATTGTTAAAATGAGCTACTTAGGTACAATATATCTTAAGCAAGAGTAGAAATGTATGTACAGTATGTTCTAATAAAAATAACCTTAAATTTGTATCAATATACAAAAATACTTTAAGCAAAATATAAATGTATGTGCTATATAACAAAAATAATCTTAAATTTGTATCAATATACAAAAATACTTTAAGCAAAATATAAATGTATGTGCTGTATAACAAAAATAATCTTAAATTTGTATCAATATACAAAATTCATACCAATGTAAAATATTTAGGGCTAGTAGTTGCTGTTTAGTTTAAAAGTAGATTCCATTATCTACCTTTTGTCCAGTCATTTCTATATCCCTCCTTTTTATTTTCAGAATGAGATCCCTGACTCCAATCTCCTTCACTTAGTTTCCTACTTGACCATGACCAAAACCAACTTGTAACCAATCCCCCTAAATGATGACAAACGTCCATAACCCACTGAACAACCAAAAGCCGTGCACTCTGCCTTTTGGGAATGTGGGCGTTGTGTTCTCTAGACTGTTTCCTGTTGTCAGGAGGGCACTGGAATCTTCGGGGGACCCTGAGAAAATTAGGATAATGGTTAAATCCTGGAGGAGCTAGCTGTTGTCCAAGGCTTATCTGAAGTTCTGGCTAGAACAGTCTGTGAGGCTGAACATCTCAGCCAGCAGTCTTGAAGTTGTTCTGGTTGCAGAACTCTGAGGAAATGTCAAAAGAGGCAGTGCGAGAGGCTGGATCACCTGGGCCACCTGTTTTTATTGGTGTCTGGTCCCCTTGCTGTGAAAAAGCACAACCTTTTAAAGGTAACATCCGTGTCTGCATCAACACACGCATGGAATGTGCTGTGTGTACAAGTCAGTTAAAGATTTTGTTTGTTCTGTGTTTGAGCAGGTAAAAGACATTTGTCAACTTTATAATTCCTTTTGGACTCTATAATCGAACTGTAATATGAATCTCTCCCCATGCCATATGAGAGGATGGCATGCACTAATATGTCATGAGGACTCTGTAGCCAATAGAATTTATCATGTCTCTTCTCGCCTCTGAGCTGTTTCTGTGCAGGGGGATCAGCTTACATGGCACCTGTCCTATAGGCTTTCTTGGCTTCCTCCCCAATGTCTGTAGCCAAGATTCTCAGGAGGACTCCCCTGGTTAAATCTGATCTCTATTAACCTGGATGGACTTCACAGCCTTTCGTTTCTTGTGGAAAAAAAAAACATAACCTCTTCCCCAACATAATATATTTTTTGACTTCCATTTTAAAGTTAAGCCTTCCCTAGAGTATACAGGTTGGTTTAATTCGGCAGTTTCTTCCACAGTCCAGAGTCCTTCAGCTGCTGTTGTCTGTTCATTAGCATTCAAAAGATCATTATTAACAAAGCACCATATAAGGTCCAAACTCCCTGTGTTATACCATTTCCCATCCTTATGTGGCTTATTTTTTTTATTACTTTACTTCTTTATTTAAAGACTTTGTTATTTTTAAACTATTTTTATAACTGCCTATATCCCTTTTCTTTTTTTCTTAAGCCTACAAACATTGTTAAACACACCGTAACCTGTTTAAAGTTTTTTCTGTTTGAACCTGCTCTCCTGCTTATCTATAACTTTCCCGTTTGCACGAGCAAAACCTTAAACTGCCGTGAGGCTTAGCTGTGCGCTGGTGGCTCAAGCCACCAGGGAGCAGCTAGGAGAGGCGTCTCTGTACCATGGCCCACACGAGAGACTAGGGGAGTAGGAAGCCGCATTTGGCTTCGTTTTGTGTGTTTGGAACCCTTTAAGAAAGCTTTTTCCCAGAAAGACAAACATAATATGTACTCACTCGTAAGTGACTTTTAGACATAAAGCAAAGGAAAGTCAACCTACAGTTCACAACCCCAGAGAACCTGGACAGCAAAGAGGACCCTAAGAGAGTCGTACATGGATCTAACCTACATGGGAAGTAGACAAGAGTAACTTGTGAGCGTGGGGTTCATGGGAGAGGTAGAAGGGAGGGAGGGGAGCAGAGAAAAATATGAAGCTCAGTAAAAACAATAAATTAAAAAACCTTTCTCAGCTCTCATGTGGAAATACGTGCCCCCATGGTGGATGCCATTTGTAGTCAGACTTTCTTGTTAAGACCGTTGAGTTCCCAACATGATTAATTATGAAAGGTTGACAGCTAGTTTAGGGTTGTTTCTAACTAGCTCTTATAACTTAAATTAACCCATTTCTATTCATTTAATTTCTGTCGTGGCTTTATTACCCCATCTCCACAGTGCCCATCCTGCTCGCTCTGCGTCTCCTGGCGTCTCCGCCTTCTCCTTCCCAGAGTCCTCTGTGCCTAGAAATCCTGCCTGTTGGCTAGGCACAGCTCCACAGTGCACGAGAAGATTATTCCACAACACCATCCCTGGGTAGGTGGTCCTGGCTCCAGGTCTCTGCCCTGACTCCCACTGGTGATGAGCTGTGACTACAGCATGAGAGGTAAAATACACCTCCCTTCCCAGTGGGATTTGGTCGTGGTGCTTTATCAAAGCAATAGACACCACAAGACACCAGAGGCTTAGGGACACCATGGAAAAGGGGGTGCGAAGAATGAGCGTTAGGACTGGGGGATGGGGAGGGCGCTGTGAAATTCTGCCTTCTCCATAGGACGCAGTCATCACACTCACAAACTAAGTGCACAGGGTCCAGTCAACAAGCTCAGTCAGCCTTCCAGAAGGCAGCATGGAGCACGCTCAGTGGGGAGGGAAAGGACCCAAAGGTGGGAGAGGGACTGTGGGGTGAAGTGGGGGGAGGCATGCTGGGGGAGGCTAGGAGAATGCAATTGGGTTGGATGTAACCAATGTACA